TGTCTCCGTATGCGTGGTGGTATCGTCGTTGTTGCGGATGAGGTCGTTGTTGTCGATCGGGAGACTCATTGCTTCGGCCTTTTCTTGCTAGTTTTTTTAAGAATTTATTCTCCTAGTCCCCACAGACGGCGCCAACTGTTGAACCAGAAAATCACCACTAAGGATTTGATTAACAGTTGTGAGTTTCAGAGAATAAGATCTTTTATTAATAGCTGTAAAGCGAAGCGATTGCAAGAGATGGCTTAACCGAGAGGTTATGCCGAAGTGAAAAGAAAGTGTTTGCGAGGTAAACTAGAAAGCGTTGGAGTTCTTGGTATTAGCTCTGCTGCTCTCTATATTGTATGAGTTCTTCTCTTCAGCTTCGGGGTCTTCTTATTTATAGGGATAGGAGGTCGGTTGCTCCGAACTCCTTTTTCTTTTTCCCTTTGGTGAATAATTCCATATTTGCGATATGGAAATATCCCTTATTCTCCGAAGAATATGGAATTTCTCTTTTATCCTTCGCGTAAGGCCGATGCTTCCGGGCTTCAAAGATTATCTTTAGGGGTTTTTCTTTATCCGAGCTAGGTCGGCGTAGTTTTCCTAGTTTTGATGGGCTTAGATTATTGCTAGAGAAAGCCTTTTAGGAAATGTGCTCATTTCCCCTCTAACACAATGTTTTAAGATGAATAATGTATATACCAATATATATAATGTCACCTAACACGATCTTTTTTTACGTGTTTCAGATTCGAAATAATCTGAGAGGCTTACCGTTGAAGGATGTGGAAGAGGATAAGACTCTACCAATCTGCTCGAAAGGGGGTAAGCCTTTGAAATCTGTTCTTGAGGTCAATAACTTGTTCAAGACGCTTGGAATCGACTTCATAAATCGCAGAACAAACAGTTAGAATCGATTTCATAAATCGCAGAACAAACAGTCACTTCCATATTCCACCTGAATCTTATCTCATCATCTTTGTAAGAAAAATATATTGTAAATAATATATTTATTCTAATTGTGTGGTCTTATGGTTAAATATTTTTTGTTGGAATGCTATCTAGGTGTTTTCCCGCACCTTGTGCGGGGTTCGATTAAAATTTTAAAAAAGTATAACATTAGTTTATTTATAGATAAAAAAAAATAGATTTTATAATGATTCGAAACACATTTAATATATTTGAAAAAATACAATTTCCATGAGTATATTATTTTTTGTGACAAAGCAAAATATATTATTTATATCTTATTTTTTTAATATCTTTTATATTATCCTATAAATATTTATATGTATGTTTTATTGTTTTGTTGCATTTATCAAACATTATAGAGTTTTAAAAAGGTTTAAATAATTTAGGGTTTTACTTGTAGTCGCATAAATCAATTAGGTTAATCAAAATATTAGTAGATTAAAAAATCAAATTAAAATTAGTTTCATGAAATAATTAGGATTTTTTATTTATTTATGCTAGTTACATTTTTTTAGTAAACTGAATATTTTTATGATATAAACTCGAATTTGGAAATCTAGATTTAAAAAAACAAAAATTAATTAAAAATTAGATTATATTAATTTGTTAATTTCATTAAGGGTAATTAAAGTAAATTCACATAAGGGGTAAAAGATAATTAACCATCATAACTTACAACCACAGCCCAACTTGCTTGCCGATTAATAATACTAGACTTTTAACTCGCGTTACGCGCAAGTCTGTATTAATAATTTGATTTAGTTCTTTTTTGGCTACTATCTTTTAAATTATCAAAACTATAATATATTTATAGAAATTGAATTTTTATATAAAAAAATTAAAACATAATATGTAGTTTTACCTAATTTTTTATTATAAAATTATAAATGTTAATAAGTAAAATCATAGTAATAACATCTAACAAATTATCCAACTTCGACGTGTATACGTTTGATTTAGAGAATAGTTCCCTTACTAATTTTTTGTGTTTTGTTTTGTGTCCTTAGGATATCTATAGTTCTTCTTTTTAAGGTTTATATGTTCAAATATTTAGTTTTGGATTAAATGTCTCACTCATGTTATGTACGTATATATGATTCATGTTGATTTGAATTTACTTTTGTTAGGATGCTACAATAGTCATGTAAAGCTGCTTATTACTTCTCTACCAGATCTTCTATTAATTTTAAGTTATATCTCTATTCAGTTTATAAGATCTGTTTTATTTGCAATCAACTATTTGATAGTTTTTGTTTTTAAACATGTAAGATGGTGTGGAGTCTTCACATTATCACTGTTTTTATATTTTGTGTGGTTTATTCATGTTTTGATTCGAATAGTTTATCTAGATATATTTCAATTTGAATTTGATTCATAACTTTGTCATACTTTATTATTTAAAAGAAATTTTAGAAGATGTTACTTATGTGCTGTTCATGTTGGTTAAGTTATAAATAGTAACTATGTATAAATTAGTTGTTATATTTCGAATGTAAACTTACTTGTGTAGTATTTTTTGTTAGTTATTAAACCAGACGTAACCAATGTATTAGTCATTGTAAATTTAAATAATATGTTTGCTTTAGAAACTTGTATAACCTATTGTAACTTTATATGATAATTCATATTCAATATGAATTTTTTAGAACTAAATTTTAAAATAATTTTCTTCGTAGATTTTGTTTTTTTTTGTTATTTTACATATTTTTCGATGGTAATTTTATATTTTATTTTTATTTATCTAGTTTTGTGCAGGTTTGTTATATTTAAAACATATATATTTTTAATTAATCTCTTTGTTATTGATTTTCCAAATAGATAGCATATATCAATTTAATCTCTTTAAAATTTATTTTTTACATTAATTTTTATTTTAATTATAATGCTATTTTGACATGCTATAACTGGGCATTCTAAATTTTGTGTGGACTTCTCTCAAAATATTATACCATCATTTGTTTTTTTTTAGTTAATTTGTTTATGATAATTTTCCAAAATATTAGTCGAAATATCAAGCTAGGTTTTCTTTATACAACTTTTTCCTTTGATAATTTACCTCTCTTGATATTTATTTATATTTTATTTTTAATACATAATTATTTTAAAAATATTGATATTTTTGAAGACATAAATTTATTTTTTATTTTTTTGTTAGTTAAATATTTTTATATTGATTTCATAAGTAGTTAGTCTGATATCAAGTCAATTTCTTTTAATGTGATTTTTTTAAACTTAGCATTTTGTATAACTTAATTTTCATTTTATTTTTCTTTGTTAACTAATTTCTTAAATTATTAGCTTAAATATTTAACTTGTTTCTGTTAGTAAAGTTTTTTAGTATTGTTTAAGTTTTTGTATTTTCTTACTTATTTTGTTTATATTGATTTTCTTAAATAAAAAATAGCATAGATATCAAGTTAATGTCCTCTTTTTTTTGTTAATTTAACTTTTTGATATGAATTTTCATTTTAATTGTATTGACAGGTTGCGAAAATAATTTGATATTTTCATATTTGTTATTTTCTAAGAGATAGGTTATCAAAATTTTTAGAAAATAATTTTATTTAACAAAATAATTTTTTGCAAAAAATAATTTCATATTTGATATTTTTTAAGAGATAGGTTATCAAAATTTTTTTGAACATGGCAATATAATATAGTTTACAATATAGTAAATCCAAGTTTATAATATTGATATTTTTCTTTCCATTAAATGAACCTTTTTAAGTTTATTACGTACATTTGTATCAAATTTTCCTTTTTACTATATTGATGATATTGATATATACTCTTTTCGATATTAACATATTGATAAATAGTTTTTCCTTTCTATTATTAAAATATATATTACTATTGATATTTTCTTTTATTAATATTTTAACTAATTAATTTTAATAGATAGATAATTAATTATCAATGCTGATGTGTACCAATAAAATTAAACTTTAAAATCCTATGTGGACATCCTTAGAGATATTTAACATAATATATTATATTTGGTAACCAATTGAATTAGATATTAAGGAATTCAGTTTCTAGTGAATTAAAAAGACAAGTAGTAATAAATATAAGAGGACAAGTGTTAAGCTACATGTCAATGTCAAGGTTAGACTAATAACTTGGAGATATGTTTTAAAATATGATAAGAAAAAAACATGTTGCTTATAAATTAATGATACATCTCACTTTAGACATTCATTAATTAATTCCCTTGAATGTTTTAGTCTCCAAATTTATGTCACACTTTTCATATTAAGAGTCATTTTCCTTACACTTGTCACTAGTGCCTTCATCTCTATTTTGATGGATGGTTGGGATTGAATCTAAGGCAAAACCTCAACAAAGAATAAAATCTTCTCTCTTCTTATAAATAAATATCTTGAACACACAACATTTAAAAACGTTTATAGGAAAAAGAGAGAAGCTTTAAGCTCCTAATTAAATATCAAGTTTCCATGTTCTATTCAACGATCTATCCAAAAAGATTTCTCCACTAGATTGAATGGAGGTACTCTTACTAACCTGATTCTATTATGTGATTAACATAGATGTTCAAAAATCTTAGGATTCATGTAAATTATGCTTCCAGATAATACTTTAAAAGCATTTGCATTGCTAATTTTTCATATGAGTTTTTCAATAATCATATAATAATTAATAAAAGAATAAGGTCCTCTTTCCTCCTATAAATAAATATTTTGAAATACAACACTTAAAAAATGATTTATAGAAAAAGAGAAAAAGCTTTAAGATCAAGTTTCCATCTTCTATTCAAAAACCCATCCAAGAAGATTTTTTTTAACTATAATGAATGGATGTATTTCCACTAACCACTAAACTCTTTATAATTCTTTTTTTTTTTTGGTAAAAACCTCTTGATTTGTTGAGAGACTCATATGAAAAACTAGTAATGCATATGCTTTTAAAATATTATCTGTAAGCATAATTTACATAAATCCTAAAATCTTTGAACATCTATGTTAATCACATACTATTATGTTCAAAGATTACATATAATATTTTAAAAGCATATGCATTACTAGTTTTTTATATGAGTCTCTCAACAATCATATAATAATACTGTACAATAAATAATAGTATATAATTATAAGAATCTCTTAATTAAAATACATAGGATTTCCTTTAGCAAAAAAAAAGTACATAGGATTTAGCTTTATAGTTTGAGCTTTTGAACATTAAAAGGTCTGATTGGACCAAACAATCTCGATTTCTAGACTTCTATCAGAACCATCATCTTTCTTGTTTTCGTCATTCAGTCTGAACCTTCCACTATAACTCCCTTCCGTCAACACTTTGTCGATTGGTATCCTCACTTTACCAAGATTTTTCTAGATTTTTTTTACAAAAATCAAACATAATCAATGAAAGATTCGAACAAATATATTAGAAAAAAGTTAAGAGATAATATTCATACATTTCGGTAAATGTTGTTGGATTTGCAGACGATTTCAAGAAACTGTCCTCTCGGAGGAACAGCAAAGTCCCATGTGAATGATTCCTTCCAAACCGGTGAGCTTGTGCGTTTTACAACCTGAACCGCGAAACAAACATGTAGATTTGTCTCCGGTTAAATATATTTAAAATTGAATCGAACTAAACCAAATTGAGCCGCATCTACTCGAAGTGAACCGAATCGAACTGAATTAAACCGATTTGAATTAAACCGATTTGAATTAAACCGAATTTACCTTGGTTTTTTTGGTGGGGCAATTATCGATGATTAAGCTACAAAACGCGTTAGAGCGTTTCAGATTGTCTCCGCGTTTGATCGCCACCGTCAAACTCCCCGGCAAGCAATTCAAGAGGTTGTTTCCTCTCTCGTGGAAGCTTTCCTCCGGAGTTTTCGATTTCATCATCAATTGAAGCACCGGTATCGCCTCCGCCGCTAAAATCGCCTGAGTCCTCGCCGTCTCCGTCGGCATTGTTGTCCACGATTGTCTTAGCGTGTAGATCGTATCCAACGCCGAATCTCTCGCTTCTTTGTCGCCGGATTTCAAAGCTCCGATTAGATGAGGGATACAAGCCGTTGCCGCCTCCGATGAACGGAGTTTAGGAAACGTCGTGAGAATCGCGTTTAGCGTTCTCATCACTTCCACGTTTATCATCGCCGTCGTCCAAAACTCTCTCTCCATCGCAGCTGCAATCGAAATGTGAGTTAAGAATCAGATTCTTCGAAGTTCATAAACAAAAACGGAAATTTCGAAATTTGGAAACTTACCTGTTAGAGATTTGATGATATCACAAGAGACATACTCTTGAAGAGTATGATTAGAGAAGAGAGACTTGATCATTAGAGCAGCTTGAGTAGAAACTTGTGGATTACAAGATTTAAGCATCTCTTGAACCAAACACACACCACCAGATTCCGCCATAGCTTTTCTGCTTGTTCTACTGTACATTGCAAAGTTCCCCAACGCACACATCACAACCATTTGCAGCTCATCGGTTGGTTCTTCCTCAATCAAGCTTATCAGTGCACGGCAAGCTAAAGCCGAATCCACGGCTTTCGCGAGTCCTTCGTGTTGAGAAACATCCTCGAGAGCCATCGCCACGAGAAGCTTTGCTGATTCTGATCTTGTCTCTGTGTCTAGTATGTAATCTGACAACGGAGTTATCACCGATTTGCAGATTTTGTTCTCTCTAACCTTTGGATTTCGGAGTATTAGTTCGAGTAATCTTGCTGAGAGTTCTTCGCAGTGGTGTGATCTTAGCAGATCGAGTAATGCGTCGAGCGCGCCGGATTCAGCCATATCAAGAACACTCGACGAATCTTGCTTCTCCCGGATGATCAATGCGTCGATGGCTAAGATCACCGTGCTCTCGGCTGTTGAGAACAACATTTTCGCAAGAACTTGTATGGTTACTGTAAAGTAATAGTGTTCTTGATCGAATCTGATGATGTTGCAGAGTATAAAAGCTGCTGATTCCCAAAGAGATACAAAAAGCTGAGGATCTTCATCGATAATGACCTTGGAAAGCTCTTGAATTCCTTCGGCTTCCGCTACTTCCTTTGTGTATATAACCGAGGATTTCTCTAAACCGGTCAACGCGATCTCCTGTAAGTTCCTTACTCGTATCCCCGCGAGTTTCACAAGAGGAGCGATGAGATCTTTAGTCGTGGTCTCTTCTTGGAAACGTTGCATTTCTAATAGAGAAGTTAGTAGCTCTGCAGCTGCGTGTTGAACCGCTATAGATTCGGATTCGAGCAACGGTATCAAAGGCGTAATGATCGCTGAAGACGCGGTTTTTAACGATTCAAGAACCATTGGCTTCTCCAAAATGTTTGATATCGCATGTAAACCACCGACCTGGCCTTGAAAATCCAAGTCTTGTCTAAGCAGAATCAAGAGAAGCGGTTGTACCATTTTCACCGCTTCTTGGCTTCTAGCTACAGCACCAACATTGGTCAAAACTCGAAAAAGCTCTGCGATTACAGAACACAAGGAGCTTGATGGATATGTGGAGAGCTGACCAAGGCATTGATCGATTATCCCCATTTTAATCAGATCCATTTTACGCGGAGACTTGTCTTTCGCCATTTTCACAAGACAAGAAATCGCAGCCTCGCTGATCGGATAGTTTCCAGAAGCCGTGAATCCGAAGAACAGATTCACACAATCATGTTCTTCTGCTACTTCTGAGTATCTTTTGCTATCCAATATTCTATCAAATGAAACCATCCCAGCTTCTACAGCACTGCTTGCTCCTGACCGGATAAGTGATAAAAGAGGTACAATGAAATCTCCGGCCGACGAGCTTTCTCTCAAACCTTCGTTGGTAAACATTAAAGAGCATATCCTCGCAGCACTTGTCTTCGATTCAAGCGACGAACTATCCGAAGATAAAATCTTGTAGATGTTCTCCAATGGGTTTCCTTCAAGACTATTAAGAATATCTTTCCTTGGGCATTTTCCAATAGTTAGCTTCACTAAAGAAGCTAAAGCAACATCTCTTTCACTCTCCAGTGTAGTATTCAACATATCAATTAGAGGAGAAAACGCTTTCCATGCTGATTCAGAGTCTCTTATGTGCTCGGAGCTGGAGAGTTCACTAAGAGCTCTTGCCGCGTTATAACGGGTACTTCTCGAAGCGTTATGAAGAATCCCTATGAGCTGCTTCATGGAGGATAAAGCTCCTTTGTGCCGTGTGATTTCTTGACTGCGAAAGAGTGATCCTAACAGTTCAGAAACGGCGACCTCAGACGAATCTTGAGGACTTGAAAGGTACTTCACTAATGCATCAAGAGCTCCAGCTTCAGCGATAAGTAATTTACTTGAATCTCCCCACTCTGCAATACGACTCAGAAGCCGAATAACTATTATAAAGGCTCCACGTTTATTTGCATTTGGCTTCAAGAGATTCACTAGTAAAGGAATAAATGAACCGTCTCTTAATCTTTCATCTTCGAATACTGCCTCTAAAGTAGCCTCACAAGGGTTTTGTGACAGAGATAACTCTTCTGCTATGGCACCAAGATTCTCTGTGTCTGATTCTGCATTCCCAATCGCGTTTATCAGAGCTTTCACTATATCTGAATTTATGATTTCTGCAGTGATTTTATCATTCTTATGGCGAAGTAGTGCTGCCAATACTTGTGCAGTGAAATATCTATCAATGATCTGATCAGATTCCATGAAAAGAGCTAGAGTTGGCACAAGATTTAATGTTGCTGGAGATGAGACAATGTTTGGTTCCTGAGACATAACAGCTAGGAATGATATTGCAATCCATTTTTCTTCAGACTCCAAGAAATTCTCCTGCAAAAAGTACGGATCATTTACTTAGTAACAACACTTTGCAACTTTGTAAGATTTAGAATAAAATAACAAAAAGGGCTATTCCCTCCATTTAATAAAAAGCGCAACTTTTATAAATGGTGTTATTTTTTTCAAATGCAGAATTTTGAATGAAAATCAAGTTCTAATATTATTGATTTAGTTTATTAATGACAAAACAATTTTTTATACAGTAGAACCTCTATAAATTAATAATTACTATAAATTAATAAGATTTGCCGGTCCCTCGGGCCAGTGTAAAAATTAGAAAATTTCGATAAGATAATAAGATAATTTTTTAAAAAACTCTTATGTAAAAATATAGTCTCGATAATTAGATAAATTAATAATTATAGATTTAAGCATATATAAATAATATAATATAGTAAAATATAATTTATTGTTTCAAGTTTATAAAAATTGTTTGACTTATTTTTCAAATTCACTTATATGATATTTTCTGAATAAATTTTATATTGTTGAAAATATTTGTTTTTGTTTTTTTGATAAATATTTTGAATTTAAACTGAAATATTTTTCTATAAATTAATAAAATATTAATTTCTTGATATATTAATAATTATTAATTTATTGATTAATTAATAACTCTATAAATTAATAAATTTTTGAAGTCCTAATATTATTAATTTATAGAGGTTTTACTGTATTAATAAAAAGTAAAATAAAATTTTTCATCTCTTTCTTAATAGAAAATACTCTAAAATATCTTAGAAAATTTTCAAGACTGTTTCCTGTTCCTTCTCTTTTCCATTCAATTTTTTTTGCTTTATTCCCTATCTCGTTCAAACAATTACTCATTCAAAATTAATTATTTATTCAAACGGATACGAGAAAAAACAGTTCTAAGAACAGATATCCGAATTATCCATTTAAAAAAAAAAATTTAGAAAATTTATATATTTTTTGAATTTTTTTGAATGTTATTTTTTCAAAATTACCCAAAATATATGTCCTAAAGTTGATATTTACCTAAATTATTGAGAGTTTGGGAAGTGATTTTAAGTAAGAGAATTTTCCAGATCCATCATGTTACCCGAATTTTCCAAATTGATCAATTTTCAAATCTTCGGTTCTCGTTCCATATCCATAAATTTCAGTTCAGAGTTTCAAAATTTTTTAAAACTATTCTAAAATGCCAATAAAACACAAATTTATTTAAAAAAGTATCATTAATAAGTTAAAAACTATTTCTCTATAAATACCACAAAATATGAAAAATGATATTTTAGAGTATAATTTGAATATTTGGGTTTAATATTTTGGGGTTAGGGCTTAATTTTTAGAGTTTAGGATTTAGTTTTTGATTTGTGTTATTTTGGGAAAAAATCAAAATATTATAATATTTTTGTAAACAAAAATTAGTGATCGTATTTTTGGAACAAATTTTGTTTTTTCTTGTGTTTTTGAGAATTGTCATGTAAAACAGAGTGAGTATTACTTACTTGCGTGATGGACTTGTATCTTTGAAGCTTCTCTGCAATAATCTCAACTCCACTGGCTTCCATGACGGCAAGTCTATTCTGGGAATGAGAAGAACAAAAGATGGAGAGTAACCACATGGAGACTGTACTTCCCATGATTGTAACTGGATCAACTATTTCAGAGTCATCGATCTTTAAGCACAAATTGCTTCTGATAAAAGATCTTGGTCTTTGAATTTCAACTTTATACGAACAACATATAGAGTTCTGCTTTGACATATCAAGAAGAGTGCACACTAAATATTTTGAATACCCTGATCGTCCAATGGCTTCTGCGAACAATTTCTTGTCGTTCTTTGCTGCACACACAAGCAACATAGCTCCTCCGACTTTGATTTCAAGATTAGATGAGTTAATTGTCCTATTAGCCAACGAAGAAACTGATTTCGATCGTGTGACCAAAAGTTCACCTAAGACAACAAACTGTGTCTTGCAGAAGCGAGACAGAATCTCTATTGCTTTATCTTGCACCAAAGGATGACCTTCAGCTACACAACGGAGAGTACTTCTAAAACGTCGATAAATGCGTTGTTGTTTAAGTCAGTTGCGTTTAAGAGATCAATGAGTTCAGGAAGACACTGATCGTTTCCTTTAAACACATCATTAACCTTGAAATGCTTAAGTAGCTGATGAAGAGCTTGTGAAGCATTCCTTTTACCTTGTAGTGTTCCTTCTCTTAATACTCTAATTAAAGCGGAAACAACATCATCATCTAATGCCTCAGCTGCTATATTCGGGTCTGAAAGAAGGTTTGCAAGAGTGGAGATAGGGTTCTCTGTTGATTCTATAGGGTTTGTCTTTGCTGACTTTATCAATGGTTTGATCACTTCGATTTCTCGACCGGGTAACTTCTTTTGGCCGAGTTTTGGATTCGATAGAGAGCCTAGCGCGTGCGCTAACTGCGTTGCAACAGCGTGAGTGTTCCCGGCTAAAAGCTTTGTGCATGGATTATCATTCTCATCAAAGCCAAGACCACCACAAAGGTCTTTTCTTGAAGTGAATAGATCAGACAAGACAGAAGCTGCGTTATCTTTCATCTTTTCGTTTGATGAAGCAAGTCTTTGAACAAGAGATCTTAATCCGTTATTCGCTGCTGAACCTTTGGTGACAAATTCTTCTATCGAAGCTGATGCAAGAACATGACCTAGAACTCTTATCAAATGAGCCTTTGATTTAGGAGAATCCCAAGAAACAAACCTTGTACTTGCTCGATAACACTTGGATCTGCTGTTTTTATCAGTTTCACAAGCGTGTTCGCTGAAATCTCTTGAGATTTTGGTCCACCGTTCTTTACAAGCCCCAAAAGCGTTGGAATACCTCCTGCTTTCTCGATGCAGACACGAATTTCCTCGTTGTGACAACATAGGTTCCAAAGGACACGAACCGCATCATCCTTTGCCTTGTGAGACACGCCAGTCTCTAGTATTTGTAGTAATGGAGGAATCCCTCCTGCAGAAGTAACAGACCATCTACTTTCTTCGACTTTATCAGTCAAGATAGCTAAGACCTCAACGGACAGTTCTTGATGTTGTTCGCAGGACAAACCAAGAAGCGGTATAAGGATTTGAATCCCTTCTCTCTTCCCAATAGCTTCCCAAACATTCTCATATTTGCATAAACTTGACAAACATGTTGTCATACGCTCACGCGGACCGGCCGTGGCCAAGATTGTTAGGCCGACTAAAACCCTCTTAGCATCCACATTGTTGAGTGATTTCGATACATCAAGATTTCCATATAGACTTGCCATAGCCTCCAAGATACGTTCTTGAATCAGTTGAGTATCCCGGGGCTTCAATAGTTTCACTAGTACTCCTTCTGTTACTGTTGGATCATATGCTTCTCTATCTTCACCACAAGTTAGTTGAAAATTCTTCAGAGCATAAGCAAGAACTCCAAGAATATCAGCCACAGGCTCAGTGAGTCGTGGAGACAATGATAACCCTCCAAGATACAATATCAAAGAAGACATTCCTCCACATAAATTTGCTAAAGCTTGTGTCCCATAACTCTTTAAGACGCGTTCGCTTTCTTCATCTTTAGACGAAGCAACCACTGCGCTAATGAGAAGGTGAATCCCATCCAAATTTCTAGCCACACTCTTAGCTTCTTCTGACTTTGATGTGATGGCTTCAAGAGCATTGACTACATTGGCACGCACAAAAACATCGGTTTCCTCACCTAGAAGCTGAACAAGAACTTGGACAGAACCTGACTCTACTATCTTTGAGATGCTACAAGTGAAAATCCTAATGAGACGAGCTAAGAGAGAGGCTGCGTTTGATTGAGATACCGGGTTACTAGACTGCATAAGCTTTAAGATAATGTCAACTCCGCCATCTTCAAGCATTATTGTCCAAAAACCATCTCTATCGCCGCAAAGATTTCTCAAAGCTCCAACCAAATATCCTTCAACTGTCTTATCTTGCTTCTTATTCATCTTCAACTGATCCCATAAACTCGGTACCACGCCTTCCGTGACAAATATCTTAGTACCAACAATATCATCATCCATTCCACACAAAGAAACTTCATATATGGCTTCAGCCGTAGCTCTTCTTGCATCCACAGAGTCAGATTTCAAAAGTGATAGAAGCGGAGGGATGCATCCGCCTATCAGTACCTTAGAACGAATGTTTTCGTCTTTGCATAGAACAGTCAAGATTGATGCTGAATTGAGTTTGGCCATAAGTGTTCCGTTCCTAAGAAGTGATATGAAGGAAGGCATGGCGTTCACGTTCCGTCCAATGATCTTTCTACACTCTTTTTTGCCTTTGGCTAGACCAAGAAGCCGAGCTGTGCTGAGTTCTTTCTCTTGCGCTGATGATTTCTTGGCGTGAAGCTGCTCGATGAGACGTGTGATTGTCACCATTGCTTTCTCCGGAATATCCATCTCCGGTGTCATTGTTTTATTGTTGTCCCTACACTCAAAACCAGCACTTACTTAATAGAGATATGAGATAGAGAGAGAAGTATTTGAAAGAGATCAACCTCAGCCGAGGAGAGGACACAGCCTCTTGTTGATTTGACTTCTTTTTTTTCTGTCTACAAGAAAACTACAAGAGATAATTAAGATGCTGAAGAAAATATGAGTCTATTACCCATTAATAAAATTTGCAGTAAATTTACTGTTTGTTTAATTATTCTGAACTCATTTTGTCTGTGAAGCTTCAGAAAACATAAGCATTTTAGCAAAATGTATTCAACAACAAATTACATACATAAATCTTTTGGTTTTGTATTGTCATTTGGATTAAGACATTTTTGTACAACAATTGTCTTGTGAACAATAATAATAAACTAGTGTTGATTGGTTGTGATGGTAGCTTTAAATGAGGTAGACGTAGAACTCAAGAAATCATGTGTTAGGTTATTTAGTTTTGGTTAATGTTTAAGATGATTTAGTTACTTTAAAAATAGTTGCAAAAAGAATTAAACAACCTAAAATGGTGCTTTACAAAATTTGAACAAACGAAATGCAAAATTATTGGAAATGTCTATTAGAGAATGAAGAACATTGTATTATGATGAGATCCAGTTTAAACTTGATCCAATTGTATCAATGTGATGAAGGGATTGTAAGAAAATTATATAGTTCCTTAGTTTGTTTTAGGGTTTTTTTTTGGTTTTTCAAATAAAAATTGTAAGAGGATACTAGACAAATTTACATCCACATTACTAATTGTGTCAAGAAGGTTACGTTCTTCCCAATCACTGGTGATGTTGAAACTCGAACATTGTAACATATTTTAAAGAATTTTAATTACACATCTGAAGGTCAGAATTCCAAGATTTAACTCTAATCTAAGAAACTGTAAAGAAAATATTTGTACAATTAATTTATAACGTACCTTTTATCCAAAGCGTTCCACAACTCCCTCCTCCTAGGCGCAAGCAAACGCCGATCCTAATATTCAAATGTTGCAATTAGTATATGATGGTTTGTTTAGATCCTGGCTTCTAAAAAAAAAAAAAAGAGAAACAAATGAAAGAAGAATCATTGATCTTACCTCTCTAGAGAGAAGAATCGTCGAACAGCTTCTTCGATAAAAAAAACCAATAAAGGAAAAAATTACTTTTAATGTTTGACAGAGGGGATGGACAAATCCTAAATCTCAAACGATAACTAATTTGCGCAACTTCCTTACTTTTCTCTTCCTTTCACATTTTTTTTCTTCTATTTTTGTTTCTCTTTCTCGGACAATATATATAACACACACCTAATTTTGTAAGATTTCATGCGATTTGAAATAAATCATAATTTCATAGTAAAAAAGTGAAGGGGACACGGCTCTGAAATATCCGAACCAACGGGGTCATGATCATCATGTATAGCAATTAGTTTGACTCTCAAGACTAGCAAGAAAATGATACGAAGAGATCTGGTATATTGGCGAGAGCCTTTCGTGACTAGGTGAGTTTTAAACAATCAAGTCAATCCCTAAGAAATCGTTTAAAAAGATCATCTTCAACGTCCATTGTACCATCAAAGCTAAGCTATATAACCTTATCATCAATGGGCGTTCTTGTTTAAACATGGTTCAGAACTTGGCTACGAAATAGTGAAACACCTACGACCGTTTTAATTTTCTAGTGATAAGATTTGTTGTACCATAGGCACAATAACGGGACCCAAAAAACCCAACCCAAAAGGATCGAGTTTGGATCTGAGAAAATTAAACATCCGAATGTGACTTGCCTCTTACTTACTTCAGTTATTGGTTCAGTACCGAAATACCCAAGAACCGAACAGGTATAAGAAAATAGTCAAACCTGAAATATTTAAAACTGTTAATTTTTGAATGATTGATTTAGCAATTTTACTATGAAACATAGCCTTTTTTAAAATGACCTATAAAAAGAGTTTACTAGTGTGCTATCAGTTAGCCGTTAGTATGCCAATAGTTCGTATTTATCCATTATTAGTCTGTCAGTAGTCTATGTTTAATTGTATGACCAATCAATCTATCAGTAATCTACATTCAATCTATCATTAGTGTATTATTAGTCTACAAATAAAAATAGTTAAAAAGTAGCACTGATATTAATAAAAATCAAAAAGAGTCATTTCACAAATTTTTCTCAATAGAGTAGCCATTTCACACTATTTTCTTATTCTAGGTTATTTTTACAAAATGCTTGATTGTTGTGTGTAAGACTCTTTAAACCCTTTTTGGCTTAGCTTAACAAGCGTGTGCATCTTCGTTACACTATCTCCATGAAAGATTTATAACCTTAAGTATTTTAATGACATGATTTAAGATTTGAGCAATTGAGTCACAAGACTGAAAAAGTCCTGTATCACACATACATCATTATCTTCATACATGATGGTCAGTTATAGACTGACGAAGGTTCAACTAGTTGACTGGATATGTTGACTTATTGATCTAAGCCAAACATATTATCTACTTGCATTGTGTAGCACGGTGATTTCAGTATGATTTGAGGAAGTGGCTACAAGTGTGTTTTTGAGAGCTCCATGATATAGCAGTTCCTCCAACTATGAAAATGTACCCTGTTTGTGATCGAACTTTGTGAGGATCGGATAAATATCCATCATGTGCAAAACCAACCATTTGGCTATTTGAGTTTCTAGGATAAAACAATCATAAGTCAATTATTCCTTAAAGATACCGAAATATATGTTTGATCCCATTCTAATGCCTTTTTGTAGGAGAAGAACTGAATCTTGCTAAAAGAATGACGACAAATGATATATCAGGTCGAGTACAATTTGCAAGATACATAAGTGCTCCAACTGCACTTAGATATGGTATTTCAGAACCAAGTATTTTTTTTCATTTTCTTCATGTGGTCTAAATGGATTATTTTTAACATTATGTGACCTCACGACCATATGAGTGCTAATTTCTTTATCCACGTTAAAGGGTTTCAACACTCTTTTGGTGTATGTGGATTTGTGTACAAATATTTCATTCTCAGAATGCTCAATTTGTAAGCCTAGACAATATTTTGTCTATCCTAGATCTTTTATCTCAAATTCCTCCTTTAGACAACTTATGCTTTCTGTATATCTTCATGAGTTCTTATAATGTTTAGATCACCAACATATATAATAATGATTACAAATCCAGATGATGTTTTCTTATTAAAAACACATAGGCATCCAAATGATGTTTTCTTAATAAAAACACATAAGCATATCAGAATGTTTATATGTCCTTCTTTAAGTTAAGTGTTCACTCAGACGATTATACCATATTCGTCCAGATTTTTGTAATACATATAATAATTTTTTTGGAATTATTGCACATAACTCTTTGGGTTTAGAACTCAAAGCCTCTGGCATCTTGAATTCTTCAGGAATTCTCATATAGATATCTGTATCTAATGATCAATATAAATATTCTGTACCAACATCAATGAGGCGCATCTTTAGATTTTTATAAGCTGCTAGACTCATTAAAAATCTAAATGTGATTGCATCTATAACAGAAGATTATATTTCTAATTTGTAATCTCATGGGTCTTTGACCTTGAACAAGGCGAGCCTTGTTTATTATAATCTCATTTTTCTTATTTGTTTCCGAACAACTACCCATTTGTACCGAACTGGTTTCACAGCCTCAGGTTAGATCACAATAGGCTCAAATAGTTCTCGTTTATTAAGTGAATCAAGATTAACTTGTATTGTATTTTTCCATTTTATCTAATCATGCCTCTTTTGGCATTCAGGTACAGATTTTGGTTATGGATCTTAGCTTTTGTCGTTAACTTCCTTTGATTGAAAGTATGCAAAAATTTCATCAATGACATTCATTTTATTTCGATCCTATATCCTTTTAATATGAATATAGTTGATGGAAATCTCATGGTTCTCTTCAGATTCAGAATGTTTCACATTATCCCCACCTTCATAGCTTATCTCTTCCAACATTTCTGTTATTTTTGGGAGGATTTTGCTTTTCAGCGTCTTTACGTTTTCTAGGATTTTTATCCTTAGAGCCAACAGGTCTACCATGTTTCAAGCGTGTTCTAAATTCATTTGCATAATCTTCTCTTCAATGATCATGTGGTATTTTAATACGAGCAGGGGCATTCACAGTTGGTGTATGTGATTTTGTTACCATCTTGGTATCTGCAGGCAGCTGATTTGCTATGTTTTTGCAAATGCATAATTCACTGAACTTTTCGTTCAAACTGGTTTGTTGAAATCAAGGTGTAGCAAATACGGCACACTCCATTTAATATCATTTTATACTTTCTTATTTTCTCCCCTAGAATCGGGAACACTTTCTCATTGAAGTGGAAATCGGCAAAACGTTCGGAGTCGTTGATGGTGACTTAGACGTGAATCGTTCAAGGGTAGGGGACTGATGCAGTTGGAAGGTTCCTCTTTCGGCTCTTGCCTCAAAAGTTAACCAGTACCCGTCTGTTGTTCTTTGTCAGCTATCATTGACTCACTTTCGGGAATACGGTCTAACTTACAGATTATAACTAAGTTCTTAGTGGGTCCTTTGCGTGCACCATTCTTCTTTTGCGGCTTCGAGCTCTGGCAATGCCTCTCGCTGAGCGGTTCAGTTGGCTCGACTGTTTTTTAGATGTGAGGGACGTTCTTCGTATGCAGATCCTTTCAACCGTCAGATCGGTCTGGTCCATTGCCCCCATCCCTTGAGACTTGCGCCCCTTCTTTTGTGTGACTCTTTGCGTTTGATGTATTGTCTTCTAGCCTCCCCATTGCTGGTAGTCATGCTTTGAGGAGTTCCTTGGGGGTCGTCGATGGCACCTGCTTTGAGGAGTTCCTTTGGGGGGTGGGGTGGGGGGGGGGGGGGGGGGGGGGGGGGGGGGGTGTTTTTCATGCCGGGTAAACTTCATCTCAAGGGTTCGTCCTCTGTGGGGATGAGTAACCCTTGGGTCGTCAATCGGGCTCATCGTCTAGAATTTGAGATCACTTAACGAATGGTGAGGCGGCCTTCAGGAGGACTAAAATGGGGTTTTCCTCCCGAAGATTATTCGACGCTTATTAAAAAAGCCCTACCGGAAACATGATTTGCTCAGTTAACTCCCAAACTATTTGCAATCAGCATTTTTATTTCTCAATTATCACGTATGCAAATTAGTTCCCCAAGTTTAAGTTGATTGTGCAAATTTGGGATTGAAAAAGTTATCTGTTAAAAACCAGACGGGAAATTGTTAACATTAACAGATTGGCTAAACGCGATTTCAGTCTAAACTCTGAAACTTCCAATTCTATAACCTTAAGCAATTTTAAGCGTAAGCAAGCAAAATACGGCGAAAGACATTCGATTTCTGACAAGAAGAGATGATGAACATCAAGAAGAGGAAGAATATCTGTCCAGAATCGGAACAAATCTTCTATGTTACTAAATTTGTAAGTGGTTACTTTTTCTCCTAACTAGAATCGACTGGTGGAATTTATAGATTGATGGAATGGTAGAATTAAAACTGATTAAGTGTAGGAGGAGATAAGTTCCAACTGCAGAAATGAAATTGGTAATTCCTCTAGCTATGCGTTCTTCAATAAAGCAAAAAGATTTCTCAAAAATTGTGTATGTGGAATTGATGTTAGGATCTATACATCACAGTCGAAAGATAATCATGGGCGTCCTTACTTTCGTTGTTGTGCTTCTCGTGAGGTAAATAGTAATTTATTCATCTTCATTAATTGGAATTTATTTGTGATGAAACTAAATTGTCTTTTTGTTTTTTAATATTAGAAAGGTCATTTGTTCAAGTGGGTGGAAGGTGGAAAGTATGAAGAAGTGAATAAGCTAAATGTTGATAGAATGATTGTAGTGAAAAAGCTCAAGATTGAGATAGAAAATGTGAAAGAGGAAGTCCTCCAATGCAAGAAGGAGATAAGAAAATTCAAAAATCAAGAACTTGCACCTTCTCATTTGTTTATGTTTTTTGGCTTTTGTAATCATCTACCACATCATCTTTCACCAAGGAAAAAGAAAAAATCTTGTATTTGGTAACTAATTCTACCGTATTAAATGATGAAAAGATACACGACATTATATATGAGCTTTTAAGACAATGTAGGAGATATTGTATGAGCTTTTTAAGA